GTCTCCAAGATTGTACTTTGACCACTAATATCTTTATTTATGTATGAATATATTTTATAAAAATTTGATATTTGAAAACTATATTTCAAAATAAATATATTCATATTAAAGTTAAATCGTAATACAATGTATTTTTTCAACATATCATAGTCAAAATTTACAAACTTTGATCAAGAAAAGTCAAATGAGTATCATCGAAATATTTTGAGGCATCGGAGGGAGTATAAAATATTGATCTAAGTGGTGGGGTATCTTTTTCTTTGGACTCATGACGTATCCATCATCTTAATTGTCCTCTTCCACATCAGTTTAATTATCATAAACCCCATTTAACCTTTATATTTAGTAATGATGGTAGGGGATACTAAATACTCCGTAATAGGGATGTAAATGAATCGAATATTTTTTGTTCGATTCGTGATTCGTATTCGTTTAAGGTGATTCGTATTCGATTTTTTCAAATCCGAATACGAATACGAATCTGAATAAATATTCGAATCCTTATCGAATACGAATATGAATCAAGGGTATTCGATTCGTGAGTTTGACAAATATATTCGGAATATAAATCTAATTATACAAATTATATATGTGTGTGTGTGTGTGTGTGTGTGTATGTATATATATATATAGATATCAAATGGTTATAAAATATTTTAAAATCTAAATGAACTGAATATTTTTAAACGAACCGAATATATTTAAACGAATCGAATATTTAAACGAACCGAATATGTTTAATATATTAAACGAACCGAATACGAATCTTAAAAAATATTCGAACCGAATTCGAATTCGAATTCGAATATCACTCCATCTTAACGAATATGAATATTTTTCATGAATATTCGATTCGGTTCGGTTTGTTTACAACCCTACTCCGTAATTGCTCTGAAAATGAATTAGAATTGAAGAATTCAATTCCATCCAAACGAATTCTACAAAATTTCAATTCCAATTCAATTCTAATTCTGTCAATTCCTTGTATCAAACGGATCCTTAGAGTCCGTTTGGTGTTTGGAGTTGACAAAATTGGAAATTGAAATTCATATAAAATTGATTTGGATGGAATTGAATTCTCTTATTCCAATTCATTTTTGGCATTACCAATTCCAAATCCACATATTTTGTGCTACGAAACAACAGAATTTAAATTGTTGTTCTCAATTCTAATTCATTACTTTGAATTTCGTGTACCAAACAGAGCCTTAAAGTTTTTCCATAGTTATCCATCAATCCAATTTTAATTACTCCGTATGTTTATACGAAGTTCTACATATTGCTATATAGACCTGGCTAAAATCGACTCGACCTGTTTTTTATTGAAACCTGACTCGAAAATATTGGGTTTTAGACAAGAGTGATGCTTACGTGGTAAAAGGTTGGGTTTTACGTGTTTTCTTTTTCGTAAAAGGCTTACTTCTTTTATAATAAAAATGCACTAAGGTTCATATAATGAGCATGAAACTTAGGTACACAGAAGAATTTGCCTTTAGACAAAGGTTTTGTTGACCAAATTCAAAGATGATCTAATCCGAAATGATCCGCTAAAAATAGGTCAAGTCTGACCAAATTTTATCTGACCGGCCTGCTGACGTAAGACATTTTCAAAATCAAGAATTTTATTAGAAAAATTATGTATTAAAATAAATTATGTTTGTACTTTTTTGTATTACTCATTTTTAGAGTATAAACTTATACTCCGTATTTTTAAACAAGTTTTTAAATTTATCTCATAGCTATCTTACTTTTTATCAAAAGTGGTGCATATTTAATTTTTTATATTATCCATAATATAGTTAAATATATCTAAAAAGTAACTAAAAATATAAAATAAAATATTCAAAGAGGTTAAAATATTTATTTTGATACTTTTTTATTTTCTTAGTGTAAAATACATCCAAGTGTTAGTATGAATTTTAATATTCAATTTGAAAAATAAATCTCATAACTTTTCAAATCGATTCAAACCCAATGATACTGGTCATGAACATTTATTTGTAAATTTGAACCTGATGTAATTCAAACCCGATGTGATCGAACTCAAATCCAATTTAACCGATGAATTTGCCATAGTGCTTTATATATGCTTGCTTTGTTTTGTAATATGTATGTGTCTTATCGAACGGGTTAATGTGACATTGAACCCCAATGTCATATTATGACCCAGTCCTCAAGTAGGACCCCTACGAAGCTTTGTTCGAAACATTGACTATTCATACGACCCCCAATCCTCCATGTAAAAGAAAAGAATAGTAGTAGAAGAAGAAAATGAGTAGACAAAATGTACTACGAGAAGGAAAAACTAAATTCCTCCGGTTTTGGTAAGGAAAATGAGAGAAATCCATTTTCTTTTCTTTTTCTTCCAAAATCCTTGAACCAAACATAGTATAAAGCTTGGTTGGCATGATTGGAAGCACATGTGGTGCCTCTTTAGCATTCTCCTATATATATATATATATATATATATATATATATATATATATATATATATATATATATATATATATATATATATATATATATATATA